CAGAGACAGGGCCTCCATCCATCCATCCCCCCCGGTGCCCACTCCTCGCAGCTCTGCCAGCACTGGGAGACCCCCGCCCGCAGCACCCGCTCTCCCCTCCGGCTACTCCAGGCCTAAAGCAGCCTGCTGGCCGTACCAAATTCGCTGTAGATTTGCTAAGATGGCTGAAACAAACCAAGCCACCTTAAAAAAAAAAAAAAAAAAAAAAAAAAGAAAACAAGAAAAATCAAAATTACCCATTTGGGGCTCTAAACTTGAGACAGCCAAACTCATTGTGACTTGTATCTTAACAGGCGTTGACTCCAGCTCTGCAGAGGTGAAAGGCTATTGGGGTAATGATCCAAACACACCATCTGTAGTTACTCTGTTGTGTATTGATGCTGCCCGGGGTCTCATTCTCCCTGATAGATGCTGCCCGGATGGGGGGAAAGGGGGTTGAGGGGAGCCCCAGAAGGGCTGGAGGTGCAGCCTGGCTCGGCTGCTGGGCCCTGGAGCACAGCTGGATAGTGGAGAGCAGCAGGGCTGGGTGGAGGCTCGGCTGTCCCAGCGAGCTGTGGGCCCCGAGCTTTAACCTCCCCACCCCAAAAAACACACAGAGGGGAGCAGCCCCCCGCTGAGGAGGAGCTGGAGCTGTCAGGAGCTGGAGCTGCCCTGGGAGTCGGGGGACAGCACTGGGTGTCACCTGCTGTGTCCCCGTGCCACAGCCCCGCTGTGAGGGCTCGAGGCCGCCCTGCCGCCGCTCCCTCCTGCAGGGAGCGCGCTGGGAAAGGGGAGAGGTGGAAAAGTGTGTTCTAAACGCCCCAGGCTCAGCCCCGAGTGGGGTGTGAGCAGCCTCCTGCCATAGCATGGCCCTGCAGGGCAGCAGGGAGGAGGAGGAGGAGGAGGGGAGCTGTGGCCTTTGAAAGCCGGACCCGGAGTGGGAGCGGAGGCGAGTGCCTGGCTGGAGCCCCCCAGTGCCAGCCCCCTGCTCTGGGATTGTCCCACCTTGATGGAGAATCCACACGGGGAGGGGACACAGAGGGGAGAGCTCCAGGGACGAGCAAGGAAAGGGAGGCAGGGGTGGGGAGCAGCGGGGTCTGGAGTAACCTGCCAGCCTGCTGTGCCCTCCCCGCCTGCTCAGAGCCCTCCCAGGCAGCCTGAACCCTGCAGCACTTGGGGTGCTGCACCCCCCAGCTGCCCCCACCCTCACCTGGGCCCCCTCTCTCTGTCTCCGAGCAGGTTTGGATGCCTCTGCCCAAACCACCTCCCATGAACTCACCATTCCAAATGATGTGAGTATCCCGGGGGCGTTGGGGTGGGTGGGGGGTGGCTGCCCCTTGGCTCCCCAGGGTCTGCCCCTCTCTCCAGGGCTCTGGGGTCACTGTCCATGCCTTTGAGACTGAGGTGGGCTCTGGCTGCATCCCAAACCACCTCCTCAGGCCACTCTGGCTGCCACCATGTCCCTTGTCCCCATTCCAGTGACCTTCAAGGCAAAAAGGCCGTTTTTCAATCCCTGAACCCCCTCTTTTCCAACTAACACCCCACTCCCAGGAATCCCATGATCGTGGAGCTGTTGAGGTTGGAGGAGGCCTTTAAGGCCACCACATCCAACTGTCCCCCCACCACTGAGCTGTGTCCCCAAGGGCCACATCCTCACCTTTGTTTTGGACACCTGCAAGGCCGGTGTCCTCCCCTCCTGCCCTGGGCAGGCCCTTGCCCTGCAGGAATTTCCCCTGTGTCCCCCTGGGAGGTGCCAGAGCAGGATGAGGCCGAGCTAACCCCGTTTGCTGTCCCTCCCTTCCCAGCTGATTGGCTGCATCATCGGGCGTCAGGGCGCCAAGATCAACGAGATCCGTCAGATGTCCGGGGCTCAGATCAAGATTGCCAACCCCGTGGAAGGCTCTACTGACAGGCAGGTGACCATAACTGGATCTGCAGCGAGCATCAGCCTGGCCCAGTATCTAATTAATGTCAGGTGAGTCCCGCTGGCCTGGCCCTGCTCCCTCCCTGTGCCCCGCATGAGGGAAGGGCTGTCCTCTCTCCCTGTCCCCTCCCCGTGCCTGCTGCCCCTTTCCCCGCTGCCGTCCCCTCCAGGAATGCTGCAGGGTGAGGATGGGGCTGGGGGGAGCCTGGCTCTGCTGTGCCACCCTCAGGGGTGCCAGGAGGGGCTGCCCAGCCCTGTCCCGAGCGTGGGATGCTGCCATCCCAGAGCTGCTGGTGCTGCTGGCAGCACCTGCCTCTGCTCTGGGCCCTGGCTCGGGCTGCCCCGTTGTGTCCCCGTGTCCCCTGTTCTGGGAGTGCCATCTCCTGGCTGAGAGGGGCTGGGGGGTCCCTGGGCTGTGTCCCTCTCCCGCAGAGCGGCAGCTGCTGGTGGTTTTCTCTGGACTTTGGCTCCTTCCTGGCACACGGGGGACCCTCAGGGGGGTGTGGGGGTTCCTGTGCAGCTGGGCCAGGCCTGGCAGCACCATCCCTTCCCTCCCTCCCTCCCTCCTCCTCCTCCTCCCCCAGCTCGGCTCCTGCGCCGTTTTCGCTGTTTGTCCTGTGCTTTTTTTTCGCATTTTGTGCTGTTCCTTCCCTCCCACCCACACCCGTGTTTTTTTTTTCTTTTTTATTTTTCTTTTTTTTCTTTTTTTTTTGTTGTTGTTTTCCTTTTCTCCTCTGTTACAGTTTAGAAAGCGCTAAACCCTCCTCCCAGGCAGCCTCCGTCACGATCCCTGACCACCTCAGCATCAACCTCTCTCAACCCTCCACCCCTTCTTCTTCTTCCTCCTCCACCACCACCCCCTCGCTCGCCACCGCGGGGGCCTCCGACGCACCCTCCAGCCTCCCCAACCCTCTTCCGACCGCCCCTTGTGTCTCCAGTCTGCTTGGCATGAAACCTGTCCCTCTCCTGGCGCTAAATGTCGTGTCTGCGGCCAAAGGCGCCGCGGCGCCCGCCGTGCCCTGTGTCACTAACAAACTCAAAGCGGAGAAGCAAAGGTTTTCCCCGTACTGAGGCTGCTCCAGGGGGTGGCAGCACCAGGACCCCGGAGAGGAGACTTGGAACAGCAGATTTTTTTTTTCCTTTTTTTTTTTTCCTCTTTTTTAATTCTTTTTTGGGTTTTTTTTAATTTTCCTTTGTACCGAGCTCGCGCTGCCGTGGCAGCAGCAGAGCTGTTCTTGCCGGCCGAGAGACTGTGTCCCCTTGTCCTGTGAGCGGTCACAACTCCTCCTCTGCCTGCCTGTAGTTGTTGCTTGTTATTTTTAATTTTTTTCCATTTCTCCTCCTTTCCCCCTTTTTTTTTTTTTGAGTAGTTTGGGTGCAGCTGTGGGGTTTGGGGTGGGATAGGGGGGTGGAGGGAGGGAAGGGACTCTGTGATTTTTTTGTGGGAGGGGGAACTGCATCCCCGGTGCCCTGGGGGCCTCACCTGTCCTCTCTTAACTGTCTGTACCTGTAATAAAGTTGCCACGGTGAGAATCTGCTCTGGTAGATCTGTGCCGCAGCGGGGGTCCCCTCTGCCTGGGGGGGTCTCCACCCCTCCACCCACACCCCCAAACCTCAGCGAGGGCCGAGCCCGGAGCCGCCACGGCGGGCCTGGGGGGTGGGCTGCCCTTGGGGGGTCCCTGCTGGCCCAGGGACCCTGTGCAGTGTCTGTGTGTGCCCTGCTGCCCCGGGGGTCCCTGCTGGAGGTGCCCCCCCTTTCCCTGCACTCCCCCTCCCCGCTGCCTCCTCCCTGCCCCACCTGGGGGGGGTCCCGTGGATCTCCCCCTCCCCAAACCCTCGGAGCAGAGCCCACCATGCTCAGCCCAGACCCCCAGGACCCCCCCAGACCTCCCCAGCGCCGTTCCAGGGCCGGGGGGCACCTCCCTTCCCTGGCTGCTTGTGCAAACCCCTCCTGAGGGGGGGGTCCCCCGTGGGGCCCCTTCCTGCCCCCCCCGCGGGGCTCCCCTGCCCCCCCCACCGAGGGCGTCCCTCCCACCCCGTCTCGGTGCTGGGGGGTCCCTCTGACGCCCTTTTCTCGTTGCAGGCTCTCCTCGGAGACCGGGGGCATGGGCAGCAGTTAGGGGGGCCCCGGACCCCCCCGCCTCGCCATCCATCTGCGGCCCCTTAGCACCGACCCAGGTTTTAAACTAGTTTGTACATTTTCGGTTCCTCCAGCCTCGCGCCACTCACCAGGTTCAGTTTGTTTCAATTTTTTTTGTTTTTCGTTTTTGTTCTGTTTTTCGGGGTTATATTTTTTTCCCTCTCTCAAATTAAAAGCATTTTAATTCCTTCGTTCAGCTCTTAAAATTGCTGAACCCCAAATCTTAGTTTTATAAAGCTTCTCTCTCCTATCCCCACCCCCCCCAGCACCTTCTCCCCTCCTTTCCCCGTTTTTTCGGCTCATGAAGTTTCTGTTTTTGTCATGAAATGTAAGAGTGGAAGACAAACGAAAAAAAAAAGAAAAAAAAAAAAAACATTTCAGTTTAGTTCTGTAACGTCAGGAAATTTTTCAAAAAAAAAAACTGAATAAAAAGATGGACTGGAGCTTTTCCTTGTGAATAGAACCTGCAGGATATTTTGGTTAATGGATCTGCCTGTCTCAGTCTTTATTTGAAACCCCCCTGGCTCTTCCCAGTGCTCCCAGTATGGTCCAGTTTGGTTCTGGAGAGGGATAAACCACCCCAGCTGGTGTTTGGGAGGATGGAGGACCAAGCCGGTGCTCCCAGTCTGGCCCAGTTGGGTCTTGGAGTCCCACTGGAATGGGATGAACCAGTCCTGGGGAGGGAACTTTGTCCCTCCATATGAATTTTTGGGGGATCTTTCCCATTTCCCTCCCAACTGGCCTCAAATGGGAACGCGCTGTGGGTTCTGTTCCCTCTCTGCTCTCCCCCTCAATCCCCTGGCACCTACAGGAGTGACAAGTGACAAACCCCGTCCCTGTGCCCCCATTTCCCCCAGTCTGAGCTGGGGGGCAGCTCCCAGTGGGACCCACCCCAACAGAGGGGGGCCACGACCCCCCTGCCCCTTCCCTCCCGTCCCCCCAAGGCAGAGGCGCAGGAGAGAGCGATAGATATTTATATAAATATTTGGGGCTGTACAAGTGAGGAGTGCAGGGCGGGGGGCGCGGGGGCTCGCAGGTCACAGGCCCGGGGGGGCTGTGGGCCGGGGGGGCCCCTCGCCGCTGCCCGAGTGGTCCAGCTCTGCACTGTCACAGTCCGAGTCCTCGGAGGCCTGGGGACAGCGGCGGGGCTGGGACAGGCCGGGCCCGGTCCTGGGGAGAGGGACCCCCTCCCTCCCTCCCTCTGCCACCCCCACCCCATGGGGACCATCCCTGAGGGACCCCGCTCCCTTTGCCTACCCCCTCTGGGGGCTCAGGGGACCCCCCAACCCATGGGGACCATTCCTGAGGGACCCCCTCCCTCTGCCACCCCCACCCCATGGGGACCATTCCTTGGGGAGGGACCCCCTCCCTTTGCCAACCCCCTTTGGGGGGCTCAGGGACCCCCACCCCATGGGGAACCCATGGGGACCATCCCTGAGGAACCCCCTCCCTTTGCCTACCCCCTCTGGGGGCTCAGGGGACCCCCCAACCCATGGGGACCATTCCTGAGGGACCCCCTCCCTCTGCCACCCCCACCCCATGGAGACCATTCCTTGGGGAGAGACCCCCTCCCTTTGCCAACCCCCTTTGGGGGCTCAGGGACCCCCACCCCATGGGGACCATTCCTTGGGGAGGGACCCCCTCCCTTTGCCAACCCCCTTTGGGGGCTCAGGGACCCCCACCCCATGGGGACCATTCCCAGGGAGCCCTGTAGACCCCCTTCCACTTGCTGACCCCACCTGGGGGTCGCGGGGGCCCCCCACCCCATGGGGACCATTCCTGGGGGAAAGGGATTCCCCTTTGCCACCCCCACCCCACGGTGACCGTGCCCGGGGGTGCCCCTGGGTGGGGGCATCACCTTGGTGGGGCTGAGCCCCCCGTGGCGGCGGCCGGGCCCGTCGGGTGGGGCGGCGTCCAGCGGGATCTCGGAGCCCTGGGACAGCAGGTCCTCGGAGCGGTCATCGGGGCGCTCGTCCGTGTTGGTGCTGCCCACGTCGGGCGTGGCGCTGTGCGACGGCTCGCTCGTGTGGCCCTCGTCGCCGTCCCCGTCCGAGAAGTTCTCCGAGCTGAAGGTGGACAGCGACTGGCGCTTGCTCATCCCCGGGGGCCACCTGGGGAGGGCCGAGGGGGGCGTGAGGGCTGCGAGCCCCCCGGAGCAGCCCCCGGTGCCCCCGAGCGGGGGTCGCACCCACCTCTGCCGCAGCGGCAGCTCCACCTCGCTGTCCACCTCGCCCTCCTCCTCCTCGGACGAGACCCCCCGTTTCTGGGGGCACACGGAGGGGGTGTCGGGGTCCTCCTGAGACCCTCGGGAAGGACCCTCGGTCCCGGCCCGCCCCCCACCCCGCGAGGGACCCGGCGGTCCTGACGCCCCCTCCCCGGATGGAATCCATCCCCCTCCCACTTCTGGGACGGCCCTGGGGTCCCCCCCCCACACAAAGGGACGCGGGGGTCGGGGGTCTCACCTGCCCGCGGGTGACGGCCGCCCGGTACAGCAGAGCCGCGGGGGTGAGGTGCTGCCCGGCCCCCCCTTTCCCCCCCCGGCCGGCCCCGCTCTCCCGCTCGGGCTCCCCGGGAGTGGGGGGCTGCGGCGGGGGGGACCCTTGGGTGCCCGTCGCCCCCTCGGGTCCCGCGTCAGGTACCGTGGCCGGGGGGGCACCCGCGGCCTCCAGGGTGCCCCCGAGGATGTCGGGGCTGGCGGCGGTGGCGGGGGGACCCCGGGGGGTCCCGGCCTCGGGTCCCGGCTCCCCGCAGCCCCCCCGGGGCCCCGCTTTGCGGTGGCGGCCCTTGGCCCGGCGGCTGCGCCCGGGGGACGGGGGACCCTTGGGACACCCCGGCAGCGCCACCTGCGCCATGGCCGCGTCCAGCTTGGGCAGCAGCACCTCCGGCTTCAGGATGTCGGGGCTGGGCACGGGAGGGACACGGGAGGGGCTCGGAGGGGATCCAGGCAGCGCGACCCCCGGGGAGCCCCCTCCTCCCGGGACACCGGCGTGCTCCCGAACTCCCCCAAAGGACCCCGGAGCCCCGCGCCGAGCTCCCCGAGCGTCTGCACACCTGGAGCACTTCTCCCCTCAAGCACCCAGACACCCCCAGCCCCCTAAAGGACCCCAAATCCGGATCCCCCAACATCTGCACACCCGGAGCATCTCCCCCCTCCCCAAAGAGCCCGGACATCCCCACCCCGAACAACGCCGTCCTCCCAGCCCCCTCAACGACCCCACATCCAGGCCCCCAGACCCCCCGCCCTGCTGGACCCGCATGTCCGTGCCCCCCAGCG